TCAACCCTGAACCGCCCTGCCCTCCCCGAGAACACGCATCGTGGCGGTTTGTCCTGGTATCGATATCGGCGCGAAGTAATTTATCCGAGAGTTCGACGGGGCGCGAAAACGGCAGTCAGCCAGCCAGCTAGCCGAGAGACGACGGCCAGTGCTGCAGCTCGTTCGTGTGTATTTCGGCTTGCGTTTCGCTCCGATGTACACCACTGACCTAACCCCCATCGTCGCACCACCGCCGCCGCCGTCAACTACACGCGCTACTACCAACGCCGACCCCTTTGAACACCCACCGCGCCGTACAAAGTATAACACTTTCGCGGTGTCGCGAGCACCGTGAGCGAGTGGTGCGGCGCGCTCGAGTGGCACGTGCTCTCGCGCGCGCAAGCACGACCTCGTTAGAGCAAACGGAAGAAGGAGCTGGGACTTTTCATCCGTGTAGCTGCGGATGCTGCGCTCGAAAGCAGCGGTGCACATTTCGACGATGACGATGACCCGTTCGGATTGACTGCGTTAATCAGAAAGAGAGAGAGAGAGAGAGAGAGAGAGAGAGAGAGCTACTTTGCAATTGCAAGGGAAATCTCTCACAACAAAAGCACACTCGCCGTTTGATGCTCGTTAGGGAAACAAATCGAACATTTACCCTTGCAAATCATTTCTCATCATTTGTCATTCTAACAAATGATTAGATTTGTAATCAATGGTTACATTTGCCATACATTGCCCGAGACACAAATCACATGCGTTTTCGGCTATTTAGATTGGGTTAGTTGTGCCTCCACTGCAGAAGTGTTGCTTGAAGCAGCGAATTCAGAGCAACAAATCATTTGTTGCCACTACGGGGTCATTTGCTGACCCATATCAACAAACATTTGTTTTGATACTTTATTATTAAATTAGCAAAACTTTTTCTAACTCTTTAGGCATAAATATTCTTAGATTCAGCCGGGACTAAGAGTCTAGACCAATTAGATATATGAATTTTACAACGGTTGCAAAGCAGCTTTCTCTAGCTAACAATCAATCATTATTCGAGACAATTACTTCCTTAACGCGAAAGCGATTGGAGATCTCTATTTATCGCTTAATTAACACGTTGACTGCTATGAGGATCTCACCGCTATAACGTTGCCCCGCCTCACTCTAATTTATGCGCAAAACGTAATCAACTACGTGTAATAAATATAGCCAAATATAACCAATACAGTCAATTGAGAAATGATAAAGCGAGCCAGCAAATATATGCATCATAAACTACATTTGTTTGCCGTATTTTCTATGATTCGGACTTGAACTAAATATTGAAATAATCAATGAAAATCAGCGTGGCGGTCAACATGCTAGTATTGGTCTCCACTGAGATTTTCGGAGTCTCGTCAGAGTTAATCCGAAATTAACGGACACTGAAATAATTTTTTTTAATATCCTAAGTCGAAATTTCATATTAATCCTGCAAAGTTCGGTGAATCCTTGCAGAATCAATGGAGAATTTCGAAATTTGACACTATTAATTGCACTATTATTGTCTTAACTTTGATGCTGTAAACTATTACCTGCTGCTGTTGAGTTTCAAGAAAAGATTGATTTCAGAATTATGTAACATTTTATTATCATTTAATTTTTATTTAATTTAATTTACTTAAAGTTTAATTTAATTATTTAATCTTTGTCGTTAATCAGCAATGTATTAGCCACGTAATTTACATAAGCTTCTCAGAGATCCTTAAAACTAATAAAAAAATTATAACGAATTAATTATGATAACGAATTATCATCATAAATATATTATATAAAAAGAAAGTTTTTTTGTTTTATTTCAGAAATATTAAAAATAAAGATTAAAGTACTAAAAATAATAGAAATATTAAAAATAATAGAAATATTTAAAAATAACTATTTGTAACATTGAAGGATGGCAATAGTCTGTATATAATGTTAAGCCTCGATATTTTCTATTGGTTTTTCTTTGCAATAAGAGTGCGATTTAAACTTTTAATTGTTATAAAAGGATGAATCTCTTCGTACTTGTAAACGAATTAAAAATATATATATGTGTGTCATTTAATCGATATTAATTATCTTTTCCTTTGTGCAATATACACAGAAAAAGGATTAGCCGCAGGAGCTAAAATATTATAGCCGCGACAGCTAAGATGGGTTATTGAAATTTAATTTAATTTAACAGCTAATGTCGTTATGTTAAATGAAGCCAAATTCATTACCTACTTGAACTTTGACGCTATGACTAAAAATACTCTGTTGGATAGGAAATTCCCATCATTATTACTTCGCTTTTTTCTTTGAAGTTACACTTGATATCCGTAAAAAACTGACGCTTCGTATTACAAATTCAAACCAAGGTTTTCCATCGGTTTTTGACGTAAATAAATAATTAATATCCACTTTTCAATGTAAAAGCAAAAACTGATGTTTCTCACATTAACATGATTACATTATTTTAACTACAGAAGGACGATTTCACATCCGTCGGAAGTAATTTCCTCTTTCCAATGGTCTTTGTTTCAAATCGCTACGTCTACAAGTGGAGTTATGAGCGATTGTATCGATTCGCGTTTTAGATTGTTTGGCGTTATCGTTGCGGCGAGCGCTGGATGAGTCATTTTGCGACGCGCGGATGGAATGCGGAAGGCTTTTGCTTCCGGAAACTCACCTTGCGTATACGCAATGACGATATGCAGCGAGCTTAGAGCGTATATACATGAAGGGAGAATGCTGGCACGAAAGTGTGTCCAAGATGTGTGCGAGAGAGAAAGCTATACGTTCCTATTCGTCCTCTGTGCGCATGCGTTGAAGTTGACAGGTTAGGTTAGATTATAGAGTTGACAAGAGATAAAAGTTATTTATTTTCTTCTCATAGAGCTCTGAGAATTTTTTCAGAATTTTGTATTAACTTTCTGGTACTTCAAGAAAATGCAAGAAAACGCAAGAAAATGCAGTACTAAAAAGTTAATACAAAATTCTGAAAAAATTCTCCGAGCTCTATGAGAAAAAAATAAACAATTTTTATCTCTTGCTAGTTTTCGGTAAAGTTGATAGAATTCAAGTAAGAAAATATTGAAACCAATAATTTTGTAGTCCAGCAACTGACGCATGTTGGCGCATGCGCACAGAGGATGAATAGGAATGTATACCTTTCTCTCTCGCACATATCTTAGGCACACTTTGGGTCTACAGAAGGCATACACAATTCCCCCTTCATATATGTATACTATAAGGCAGCGAGAGCCCGGCTCGCTACTTCCACTCCGCGGCTGAGATAAGCAATGTAGCATCGCCCACTCGGCCGCTTCGGCACGCGGTCGTTCACCGCACTTCAAAACAGAACTGGGAAATCTTGCCTGGGCGCACTGGCGTTTTACTCCTTCCACTTCTCACACAAAGACCCTTCTGTCCGTCCGTGTGACTTCGCGCGGCGCGCAGGGTCTCTGTGTAAGAAGTGGAAGGAGTAAAATGCCAGTGCGCCCGGGCAAGATTTCCCAGCTCTGCTTCAGAAGCAAGTGCGCCGTCGCGGGAGCGAGTGCACGATTTTCGCGCTGGAATTCGGATATCGATTATATATCTTTTTCTCTTAGCGCGTAAACTCGTGGGAAGTGAAAATATTCATATTTCTATTGCGTTCGAGAAGTTACACGTGAAGCTTTTCATTCTTTTTCCAACTTTTAGAAAAAAGTTACATGACCGCTACTCTGATATCGATGCCGTATCTGATACCGATGCCGCATCGAAATGCTTAAATTCGCGAATAAGTGGTCGTAGTGAAAGAAATAAAAAGGAATTTTTTTAACATGCGTTCTCTGTGCCGCTCTTCCATTTGGAAAAATCGAGTGCCGTAAATCGATTAAACTGCGACAACCACGATAACACGAGCAGCGCGCAGCCTCTTTCATTCCAGGCCGAATTGTTCAGATTCCTTTGTCTATTGGAACAGTGACGAGATCAATATAATTATTGTGGATCAAAGGAATATGTATCGTGTTTATTTGTAAAATAATAGAGGACTGTTTCGTTCAAATTCATAAGCTGTACTCTCACACATGAGCATTATATCGGACATTCTGTGCATATTTTCAATGGCAGTGAAAAAATATATAATGAAATGATTGTGAAGAGACACGAAATTTGTTGTTGGATGTATCCATTAATTATACAAAATGCCTAAATTTAGGCGTTCGTGTGCAGGCAGAGAACTTGTTAAATTTAACAGAAAAACCATGTACGCCATTTTGTATAGACCATTTTGTATGTCACGGTAATTATTGAGATATTAGTGAAAGTTGATCAATCAGTGCGGTGCACGCGATGCGATGAGACGAGCTCTGTTCCTTACAAGATTGAATGCTCGGAACTCACGCGCACAAGACATTTAGAAATACTTGCCATTTTCTTCTCTACTACTCGTCAAAGAAATATGCGCTCTTAATTTCAACTAATAAATTTGCATTTTACTCGATTTTGCTAGCCAATTTTTTTAATAATGAAAGCAAAACGATTAGCCTTTTAGCGAATTAGCCACTGAGACCTAGCTGATGTGATTTCACTAAATGATTTCTTTGCGTGTAATAACGTAAATCGACATGATCAACGCTAATTTCAATGTATTCAACTGGACGACGAGAGCGCGAGTCTGTAATCCTCTATGGGACTTGTGACATGAATCGAAAGAGATTAACAGTAAAGAGGATATAAAATATGTTAAAAACTTGAACAAAAGAGGATCTCGAAATTTACATTGAACGCGCTGTTAAACGCGACGCATTTGCAGATTATGTACACAAAGCAAAATCGAACTGCGAAATATTGGTATTTAAATCACAAATAAACCCCCCTTCCCCCGGAATGAATCCAAAGCTACATATTCGTCACCTGTACATGCACGCGCACTCACCAACCGTGTTTACTTGTCGCATGCACAACACGATTACACCAACGGACTCTCTTGCTCGCAGAATGGACATCCTGCTGAGAGACATGAACGCGCCGTGGCGATGACAAGCCTGATCTTGGAGAACGCCGACTTGAACCGACTCTTTCCGAAATGCCGGCCTAGGGGCGGCCCACCCCCGGCCCCGGGGGCCTCCACGCAGAGCAGCCAGCCGCATGACAGCCCCTGCCAGACGGAGGCCACCGCTATCGCCACCGCCGCCGCCGCCGCCGTCGTCGCCGTCGCCGCGACCACCACCGCCACCACCATCACCACCACAACAGCCGTCACCATCGCCTCTACGAACACGTCGACGAGCGTTCCCGCGTTACCGGACGACATGATCGACCTCGAGCGCGACACCTCCGACAGGCAAGTTAAACCGATTTACGGTTTACGAGAAGTGAGAACAGCTGCCGCGAGAGAGATCGGATTAATCGTACTTCCGAGAGGAGCGACGCGGCATGACGCGACGGGGATGAGAGAAATAGAGAGAGCCGACGAAGGAGGGACGATATCTCCTCCTCGTCGTTCTCCTCCTCCTCCTTCTCCCGCTTCTCTCGGGCGATCGAGCTTGATATGCCGATTGATCTCACGTAAGGTCTCTCTCGAGAAGTGGCGCGTACCTCTGGAAATCGCCGGCGAGATTTCAAGGGTGCGATTCGCGAAACGATGAAATATCGCCGTCGATCTCCAGAGGTACGCGCTTTCCCGCTTCTCGAGAGACGTCTCGCGCATAATACGTGTTATGGGCTGACTAATTGCTTAATCGATGCTAATTGCGCTTAACCGAGGCTAATTGTTTAATTCTACCTTGGGTCGGAGGGTTTAGTAAATCAGACGGTAAGCGCGACCGATATTGCGTCGCGTCAGCTTCACGATCGGCCCGTTGAGTTTGAATCTTCCGTTTGCTTTGTGCAAACAAGAGATTCAAAGAGCAGCCAAATTTTGCCGATGGAATTAGGACAATTGATTCGCCATGTGAAGCTTGAAATCGTTTAACTCGACTCGAGCTGCTTCGATGGATCGCTCTCCTTGCGTGGCGCAACTTTATCGACCGAAATTCACGAGAGCCATTCAGATCGCTGAAGACGCTCGTCCCAGGAAAGAAATGAGATCACTACGACTGTGATTCCATCGAACCGCTCGATTACGAGTGACGGTAAACACGCGATGTCCAACGCGCCCTTGAGCCAAAATGAAGATAACGCGCGAGAAAGCTCGACCTATCGCTCTCTTTTCTTTTTGTATTAAATTTAATCGCCCCCGCCTATCAACGATTGCCGATTGTTAAGAGTGTCAAGTTACGTTCGTAGGTATAGGAAACGAGCGAATGGCAGAAAAAAATCAGGTTCGCTGTCCCGTAGGACGGCGAGCGTGGTGCCCGGTTTCACGGTCGAGGGCCAATTGCCGATCGCCACGAAGCCGCTCTCGTCGAGCTCGTCCTCGGCGTCGGGACGCAGCGAGGACGCGCCGCAATATGGAAGCTTGCCCGGCAGCGACCATCAGGGTCAATCGCAGCAGGACGACAGCGGGCCCGAGGAGAACCCCGTGTACATTCTGACCTCGGCCAAAGGTGGCCCCAGCTACAAACTTCGGGATTCGAGGTAACGGATCGTCCGACCGTCCGCGCGGATATATTCCGGATATACAATAGGACATTCCCCCGTCTCGGAAAGCGAGAGCCTCCCCGCGATTTCCGCGATCGAGTGTCACGATGTACGGCCGCGGCTTTCGAATATTTATCGACAACGCATTCGCGCGATTCAGTCTCACTAATTATAAAGTTTGTTAATTATTAATTATTTGCTATGAATCGTTGATTCTCTCGCGGAGAAACAATACATGTATGACATGTAATATTTAATTAATTATTAATCGATATGTGTACGCGCGCGGGTCTGTGTATTTGTGTGCGTGTACATCGGATAATGATCGTTTGACGCTCGAAATGACGATGAAAGACGCTCAAAATTTAAGGAACAGAGAAAGAGAGAGAAAGAGGGGGACTTTACTGCGGCAAAAATGCGCGAGAAAGAAGGCGAAGTGGAAATTGAAACTAATTAAAGCGCGCGGATTAGCGAGTCGAACGGGGAGATTGAATAAAAATCGATAGCGGGCGGTTTAAAGGTGAGGTGTACAAATACTCGTATACACGCAAAAATACGTGACACCTCTCCCCATACGTTTTGGCGACGTTAAATTCGCAAGCGTACAACAGTGTGTGTGTGTGTGTGTGTGTGTGTGTGTTGTTGTGTATGTGATGTGATGTAGTGTAGTGTAATGTAGTGCGCGCGCGACGCGTTTACGACTTGCGCGAGATACTCGCTCAGCGCGATGGAAATCTACTTGACGTTTGGTCTTTCGCGTATCTATAGCTGCGGACACGCGGGCGACCAGTTTCGATAGCCGATACAGAGGTGCTAGTCGGGTTTCAACCCTGACAGTCCTGTTCGCGTCGTCGTCGTACGCATATATTCAGCGGGGCGTTAATTTCAGGCTTAATGCCGGCGATACTCGAGCAGAAATGTCAGTTAAATACTAACTTCTCTCTCCCTCCCTCCCTCCCTCTCTCTCTCTCTCTCTCTTTCTCGCTGCCATTAACGTATCGCAAGCTACTCGATGTATAGCAAACAAGTCAATATGCCCGCGACAGCGTAATCCGCCCAGCAAACATTTTTCTTTCTCTCTCTCGCACGCTGGCGCGCGCGCGCGAACGAGCGAGTTTTCGCTCGTGTAAAACGTCTTCGTCGTCGGCGCGATAATATCGCTCGGCGACTCTTCGCAATTTGAAGCACGTTTCTCTCTTCAGGGCCGACTTACGTGCTTAGGGTAATTTTCATCAAATTTTGATTAAGCTAATCGATGGTTGGTGACTTTGCTGGCACAGTCAGCTAACATAGAAAATGAAGATAGTTTGTTGTTAAAGCCTCCTCTCTCCTATTTCTCTTTCCCTCTCTCTCTCTCTCTCTCTCTCTCTCTCTCTCTCTCTCTCTCTCTCTCTC